ATAGGCAGGAGTTCAAGATTGTAAAGCAAGTGTTCTCTGCTACGTTCGTTAGTTCAATTTTTTCATCCCCTATCGACGTTTGTTTTTCTTATTGTCTGAAGCTGCTTTTTTCTGTTCTATTCTGTTCGTCGTTTTCAGGTAAAACAATCTCTTATTTTCCCTTCCCTTTGTCTTCTTCTGTTCTTCTTGATTTTCAGTTTTCTCAATGCAGATGATTTTTTTTTCTGCTTCTAAACGAGAGTGGCTTTTGCTTGCTGCTCTGTTAAAGTTCTTTGTTTCACTCGTTTGTATTTTTGGCCAAAGGTTAATACTGTTACAAGCTCTCTTTTTCTTATGAGGCAAGTGAGTCTGATCCAATTCCTTTCTTTCTTTTCCCCCTCATTAAACCCAAGAGTGCGCCATTCTCAAAGCAAGGGCAGAGGAGAATATTTGTTCTCTGTTTCATTTGAGTCAGCATATCTCCTTCATTTTCTTGAGAGACTGGAATAATCTAATTCTATTGTTAGGTCGCGCTTCTACAGAGAAAACAGCTTGGGCTTACTCTTAATTGGTGTTGAACGGGTAACGTTACACGTTCTTAGTGCAGCGTATTTCAGATCGTGAGCATGGATTTTCTGTCAGTGATCCACCTATTCCCAAACGTCAATGGACATATATTTTTCATCCCGTTGATAGGTGAAAAGGATGACTTCTGTAGCCCATGGCTACATCAAGCTGGTGCGTGTGCTGTTTCCAACTGAAATGTCAGCGGGCGGGTTGTGAGTTGAGAGTAGATCTTTTTCTCCGAGAGAGGCCAGTTCTTTAATAAAGCTTTGTTCTATTCAGATACTACAGGAACTTGGCAAACAGTCGACGACACGGAAGCCAACTTGGATTAATGTTTACAATAGACCCCAACGTCAAAATAATAATGTGACGTAGCCAGAGGCTGTGCTAAGTGTGCCATTATAAAAGGCGTGATCGGTATTTTATTTTTCTGGAAAAGAAGGAGGATACAGCTGCTTCTAAGAATGTTTACAATTAGATTGATCACGGATATCGTTCTGTACTGCAGCATCTCTGTGAGTGTTGGCCATGTAATTACCGGGTTGGCAGTAGTTTCGGTCACCGGTCTGTTTCGTGTGAATCGACATGTTTCATGAGTTTTTATTGTCTGAAGAAGTTTTCACTGTTTGTGTGACTTATTTCATCACTGGCATTTACTTTTCCACAAGACGTACCTCGGACCAGTTTTGCTCGTTCCCGAGAAAGTTTAGCGTGAGTAGGCAGAGCTGTTATTTCCTCACTCGGACTGCAACAGTCGCATCGAGTTCCGAGCTCAGTCTCTAATGACCAGGTGTAGACGGTGACCCACTTTACAACGCTTGCGAAATCCTTGAGTGACAGTTTCAATCACGCACATTTTCAGAAATACAAACAAGTGTAAGTAAAACTGAGCGTCAACTTAACTTCTTAAAGTTCTGACGATAGGCAGATGTCGTTGTGACGTGGCGTTTTGACCACTAGAGAGGACAGCGTGGATTACACGTGGTTGGAGGACGCTGGTCGGACGCACGTGGATTCCTTTCCAACCGTCTCTCTACCTCCCTCTCTCTACACCTATTTCTCTCTCTCTTTTCCCATCCGCACTTCCCTCTCTCTCAATCTCTCTCTCACTCTCTCTCCTCCTCTCTCTCTCCCTTCCCCCTCTCTCTCTTTTACTCTCCCTGAAGCCGTCAGTCTCTGGGGCGTAGGAGGGGAGCGTGCCAGCGGGACTTGTTGAGCCGCCAGCCCTCCTCCCGCCCCGCCGTGTGCCACGAGAGTTCGCCACTATCAGCGGGCCCCGGTCCCAGCGGACGCACAGACAGTCGTGAGCAGTCCACAACAGGACGACGCCCACCCGTGCTGCTGTATGCTCGAGCCTGCCGCCGGATGCTGTCGTGAAGCTGTCGCAGCTGCCCATGTCACCGTAGGCCGAACGCGCACTGCCCAAAATGCGCGCTCGGTTACAATGGGCGAACAACGGGCACCAGTGACGGCTCAGGTTCTCGGCCGTATGGTGGCTGTCATCCTTTTAGTGCTCAGCCACTGCCTCACGGGCTGCGCGGGAGTCCTCTCTCCTCTTTCTCACACACAAAATCTCGGAACCCATTTCGGCAACCGGGAGCCATTAGAAATGGTATCGTCGCCGTTATCGTCGCCGTCGTCGTCGTCGCCGTCGTCGTCTCCTTTGGATGGAGTCTCTGTTGTGGATGGTAACTTGGAGAAGTCGGAAACCTCTGAGCATCTTAGTGGATTGACTTCGGGCAGCAAAGGTTGGGATCTGGTATCTAAAACATATAACGATCGGCCAAAGGGCTCGAAAGAGGATGTACATTTTCACACGTATTTACAAAACCTTTATCAAATAAAGAGTGGTGAATTAAGGGGTGGGCGAGTGGACGAAGGGAAAAGGTTGAAAGTGGATAATGGTAAAGGGTATTTATTAAGAAGTCACGATGACACAAACTCTAGAATATCTATCAAAGGTGTGCAATCGGGTGGTGCACCCAATGATTTGTTAAAGAGTGGTAGCATACGAGGCGATAAGAGCTCCAGCGGGGCTGTGGTGAAAGTGAGAAACAAACATTCACCAGCCTCAAACGCAGATGATGTTAGGGATAAAGATCACTTTGCATCGCAAATCGGTTATCAGAAAAGAATTGGCGACCATCAAAGTATTGGACTAAGCCCCCGCCATATTTACGGAGACAACACGAAATACTCCACTAAATATCTGCACGGAGAGTCGACCGGAAATCGGGACACTCCTATCTCGTCCAATCACGGAACTGAGAACCGTCAGGCCAAAGAAGTTGGAGGCAGGTCAGAGATCGCATCTGACGGGGTGGATAGTATTGACATAGCCCAATTACTGTCTGGGAAGGGCCAAGTAGCAGAAATAATAGCGTCGCCTGGTGTGATTAATGGTGTGATAACAAATTCTGGACACGGCGAAAAAAATTCCCAGGATGGTACCAAGCCATCTGGCCACAGCATTGAGTTAGGGGAAGACGATTTTGAATCTCTCCAAGCGCTCATTCAGGAAACTGTCCACAAAATGGTGGAACGCTTAGATTTTAACGTTCTTTCTCACGAGGAGCGCCATCATGGGTCGGACGTTTCGTCGCCGCCGTCGTCCTCGTCATTTTCATCGTCATCGTTCGCTGACACTCAAAATGGCGGAAGGCTACAAGACCCGAAGCATCAAAGTATTAAGGCGAAACATTTGGGTGACAAAAATTCTCTGAAACACTGGGAGAAGAATTCAACAGACGAACATTTCTTAGGGTGGCAAGAACAGTTTGAAGAGTCTTACAATCGCGTCTTGAACGCTCTTTTAGACGCTACCGTCTCTCAGTCTGTGCCGGAGAACTTTGAATTCTGGAGAAATGTATCCAGCATTTTGGATAGCTCTATCTACCTCAGCAGGACCAAACGACGCAGTCCAAGGCGACGTTCGCGCCATCCCGCTTTCAAGGCCCGCTTCCTGCAGCACATGCGCAGACAATTAGCGATTAACTATGGTCACGTGACCCCGTGTGAGTACAAGGACCGCTTCTATTGTATGAATGGCGGGACGTGCGTCATTATTGGTACCCTGGATATCAAAACGTGCAGGTAATTTTTCTTCTTTTCATAATAACGTAATTACTGCATGCCAGTAGCATCACAGTATTTTTTCAGATTGTATGCATGCGTTGCGCACAACGTCTAAGACATCAAACAATCTTTGAATGTTTTCCTGGCGCGCTGCTACCTCCTTTCTCAATGCTGTCTTTTCTTCAGAGATAGATTTTTTTTCCAACTTAATTTTTTAAAAATTTT